GTGGTCCGCCGCAAGGATCGGAGGACGTCGCGGACGTGGGGAACGGAGCGCTCCACCATGATGCTGAGGCGCGTCTCGACATGGGCGTCAGGGGGGACGTCGTCGAGGGGGAGGGGGGGAAGGACGACGTAAGAGAAGCCGGAAGGGAGGGAGTCGAGGAAGGCGGTCTGGGCGTTGTCGGAGAAGTCGGAGAAGACGATGAAGGTGGCGGTGAAGCCGTGGCGGAGGACAAGGAGCTTGGCGAGCTCCGAGAGGGGGATGAGGTGGCCCATGCCGGGGCTGGGCATGACGGCTACGTGAGGCGGAGCTCTGCTGCCTCTCTCCATGGCTTCGATGCGACCATTTGTTCTCTGCGGTGGCTTTTTTATAGCAACTTGAGCTTAAAATTTTTATAGATATTTTAAATTACCCCGAAAAGCTTCGACTTAGTTTTGAATAATAATTATAATAATAATAATAATTATTATTATTAAAACTTAAGATTTTTTTTTGAATTGATAGTGTGATCGAGTGGAAACTTAGTTCAATTTCGACCGTATGCTAATCAATTTTTTACCCAAAATTTAACAGAATCACTAGATGATTTTTAATTTTTTGAATATTTTTAAATTAATTATCAAAATAGAAAAGATTTTGAGTATGTTTGGTGTAACTTAGTTAGCTTTTGAATACGATTTAGTCAAATTTTCACTAAATCAACTCAAATTTTTATTAAACTATTTGGTCATAATTAGTTTTGTTTTTATTTTTAGTTTTACAGGATTCATGATAATTAATTATTAAAATTAAAGATTTTTTGAATTGGTATTGTGATCAAGTGTAACTTTGTCAGCTTCTATTAAACCAATCGAAACTTTCACAGAACCAATAGGACATGGATCTTAATATGATTAGCATTATTATTTTTTAAGATTTTATAATAATTAATCATCATGAATCGAACCTTTGTCTATAACATAATATGAATATATATATATATATATATATATATATATATATATATATATATATGTTATGGTTAAAAGATATAAAATAAGATTGAGAAATACCTAAAACTATTTTATTAGAGACTAAAAATAAAATATCATGCCGAGCTTAACAGTATATGCAAAAAAAAAGAGAGATAAAATTGACTGTCATCCTAATAATAATCTCATCGGCCGCCAATCTATGAGCTATCGTTCTCATGTTTCTATTAACACGTTGATCTCCTCAACTAACCTTTCAAAATGTCCTTTTAAAATGATAACAAGCCACCTAACCAAAATATTAGTCCGATCAAATCCAAATATTTATCCATCCTTTTTCTTTTTGCTACGAGAAAGCCGCCATATATCATCTTTTCCTTACCTTTTTTTTTTTATATATATACGAACTATGCATGAAATTTCATCGATACCCATCACATTCAATTATAATAGTAGAATTAAGATCATAGGTATTAGTGCTATTCGTTTTTAATCCTTCATAGTTATTTCTTTTATCATTACTCCTCTTCAAATCTTGTATTAGTCAAAGCAAAGCATTACTAGTAGTTTATACTAAACAAAATGATAAGTTAATTATCCCATCGAATTAGATTGGGATTGATCTTCCTCCAAAGGGTATTGGCATGAAAACATAGGCAAGAGAAGATATACTCAATTCTCCAAACTATCAAAACCTTTTGAATCTCTCATGTATTGTTCTATGATGCTTAAGTTTATCTCTCACTTCTAATATGAGATTAAATCGAAAGGCTATTAAAGTAACTCTAATGGCCATGGACTTTAAACACTCTATCTCATTTCCACACTCCAAAACAAGTGGATGATTTAGAGGAAGATTATTTTAAAATTATGACCAACTTTATCAACGTTCCGAGAATGCACATAATATATAATAGAATTATAGATTCGATCATCTTAGTATGTTGGATCAAAATAAATAAATAAAAATAAATTGAGAATTTGGGAGTCCAATAATTCAATTTCGTGTCTCGGCTTTTTTTTTACTTTTACTTAAGGATCATTTAGGCCATCAGTATCAAATACTGATATTAAAAAATGTGTGATGATAATGATTGATCTACCTTTTATTAGTCTATAATCATATAGCTATGCACAATAATTAAAATAGAAGTAATGGAATCTTTGTGGCGATTGGAGATCTTGTTGTCTCCACATTTTAATGTGTTAAGTTTGTCGTATGATCTTATCCATGCACGTAACATCAATATAGATAATGTGGCCAACAACAACTCATAGATAATATAGAACTTAAAGTATCATTAATCAGATGAAGAAATTTATTTTAGTAAAAGATTTAGGATGAAACAATGCAAATGGGTTATATTAATGTGGAATAGGAGACACTATCTGTAACACCCCTAATTAATTTCGTATCAAAAGTAAATAAGATTAAAAATTAATTTATACGGATCTAATCGATGTATTATTATTAACTTTAGTGTTAACTAATGGTTTGGGTTCAATAAAGTTGACCAGTAGATTAGACCAGTGATATATAATATAAAATTTAAATTATCACCTTCTTGAATCAAAGAATAGATGTTGATCTTCAAGAATTATTATTTTACATTAACTGCATTAAGAAGAAGATGATGATCATAAGCTACGTAGTTGGGATTATATCACTTTGTCTAAAGATAGAGATGTTCATGAGAAAAAGTATAGAGCTAAGAGGATTGTTCCTCTCTTAAATAAAGAATCTTTTTTATGACTTTGAGGTGTGAGATTCCTAGGTGTGGAAGTGTAAGCTGATCAGATATCTTAAGAAGGGTTTAGGCTTATTATTGTTAACCAAATGGACATCCGAGTGTGTGATATCTATGGGTTACTAAATATCTTTTAATATATGACCAACATATATCAATGTAGATCTTATAATGTTTTTTTTACTATGTCTCTCGTCTTGAAACTATTCACTATTTTTCTCATTTTTCTATTGTTATTTAGTTCTTCGAATTAGTGTTATGTAACAAAAGTTAATAAGATATATGTTTATGACACTTTAGGTGTTCGATTGAAGAAGGTGATGAGCTAGGCAAAGAAGTGTGTAATAATGGAAAATCATTATATGGTTGTTTATTCTCCTAATCGATATCCTTGTTGTATGGAGGATTTGCTCTCATCAATTTTTCTTTTTCTTTTTTTTATCGAAATAGGTTTGGGTTGAGGGTAATCAGGTGGAAAGTGACCTATCTATAGATGATGAGAATGCTCTTGATTTGGTACCAATTTTGGAAACTAAGGGTCCTTTTACTGTATTAGGGTGTATTTTTAAGAGATCTGATGAATCATTTTTTAGAGTAGGATGTCAAATTTTGATTCTAGATTAATGGAAGGAATCAATTATTTCTAAAGGTACTAACTAAAGAGTTTACTATGAAAGGGGATGATTTCATTTATTAAGGTAATGTATATTTATATATATTTGAGGGAGAAATTTTTCTTAATCATGCATATATATTATTTTGATTGATCATTAAATCATATATTAATTGAGGATTAGAGCATCTAAGGAATGCAAAATTATCATCTAATATTTGTCTCTATTATAATCTTCTATCATGCTTCTATAAGATAAGCTTCCGGCAAGAATACAAATTTTGGTATCTTCCGACAAGGATACAAATTTTGGATCGATATAATTGAAAAATCCTACAAACGAGAGGCTTTGTGAGAGCATCAACTAGTTGGTCAGAAAAATAGATATAAGAAATATGCATTTAATGCTTGATAACTTAATTTTTAATAAAGTGAAAACCGAGAACATGTGTTTCATGCGAGAGTAGGATATCGGTTTAGAATATAGATATATGAAACCAACATTATCACAATATATTATAGGAGTGGACTGTGAGGTGATATCAAGCTGATTGGTGACCCAATTAAGTTCTATAGCAATGATGGTGATGGCTCGATATTCAGTTTCAAAGATGAATCTTACTATTATATTCTATTACTTGGAACGGATCAAATTAGCTTCAAAAAAGATAATGTAGACTGATATAGATTTTCTATTATAAGTATTACTTGCCCAATCAGCATTAACAAGAGTATGAAGGTAAAGTGATGAATGTTTACGAAGAAATCTATGATTGAGTCTCTTTAAGATATCGCATGATATATTTTAGTACATACTATTACACAATTGAGGGTCGATGCATAAATTATGATAATTTATTGAATACAAATAAAATACATGAATGTGTAAGAGATAAATGCTACGAGGAACTAACTACTTATCATTATTGTATGAAATTCATAGTAGAGCTATTATTATATATTTTGAGTGACTCAATAAAAAAGGATGGGATAATAATTTTGACATATTACGCTAAAGTCTTCATATCAAATCTTATCTTTGTCATTTATTTTTGATATCATAAAAAAAATCTTATTTAAAAAAATAAGTTATTAGAATATAAATTTTGAATCAACTCATATGCCTACTTGATTTAATTTTTTAAAATATTTAAAGGTTTTTCCTTTAAACCTTTAGAAATAGCATATTTGATACTATCAATCATATGTATTGCTCCAAATATTTAGATTTTTAGATTTTTCATGTATCCACTAATAGTAACGCCTGTCTATTAAACGTCGATTAGTAAGTACTAATCATAAATCTTAATATCTAAAAGACTTTTATAATTCTAATTGATCATTTAACAATTCATTTTTTTCCATCAAATCAAAAAATAAATATTCTAAATATCACATAAAACGTACCCATGTATTATTCATGCAAACAGGATTAAGAGATTATGAGAGTTTGCGAACTCGTCCTAAATCCAATTGACAAGCATCCTGATTCAATTTAAATGAGTCGAATAGTCATCTAAATCTAATTGACAAGCATCCTAATTCAATTTAAATGAGTCGAATAGTCATCTAAATCCAATTGATAAGCATCCTAATTCAATTTAAATGAGTCGAATAGTCATCTAAATCCAATTGATAAGCATCCTAATTCAATTTAAATGAGTCGAATAGTCATCAACAAAAAACTAATCAAATCAAACACTGCGTTATTGTACATAAACAACCATATCGCATGCAACCATCGCGCATCACTTGCGCATGGAAAGCACAGTCTCGGCTGATGCACGCATCCGAAGCACGCATGCAGACTTATTTATCATCACAGAGTACAACAGCATCTACATCGACGCCAACATCAGTCTACACCTCACCCGTCACTGCGTTGTCCTTCCAATACTGCATCACCTCCGCCAGCGCCTTGCAAGAAGACCCGTCTCTGCCTGCCACCGCCTGCGCTGCCGCTTGCTTCAGCTCCCCCGCCTTCTCCCTCGCCTTCTTCCCCGCCTCCCCCTCCATCAGCTCCCTCGCCACCTCCGCCACCTCCTCCCTACGCACCAGCCCGCTGCCGTCCGCTGCCGTCTTAGGCCGCAGCGCCACGCCCAGGCCGTCCGCCATCATCACGGCGTTCGTCCGCTGCTCCGCGTACAGCGGCCACGCGATGATAGGCACGCCGTGGACGAAGCTCTCCAGCAACGAGTTCCAGCCGCAGTGGGTGAGGAAGCCGCCGGTTGCGGCGTGGGCGAGCACCTCCACCTGGGGCACCCACAGCGGGACCACCAACCCCGCCCCCCGCGTCCGCTCCAGGAAACCCTCCGGCAGGTAGCGCAGCGGGTCGTCCGGCCCCTGCAGGTGGAAGAAGGCCCCGCTAGCCACCCGGTCGCTGGGGCACCGCACCACCCAGAGAAACCGCCGCCCGCTCGCCTCCAGCCCCCGCGCCAGCTCCTGTATCTGCTCCGTCGAGAGGGTCCCCCCGCTCCCGAACGAGACAAACAGCACCGACCCCGGCGGCTGCTCGTCCAGCCACCGCAGGCACTCCTTCCCCTTCGCGCCACCGTGGCTGCCGCGGTGTATCACCGGCCCGATTGCGTGGACGTTCGGCCGCCCCACCTCTGGCTCCGCCTCCTTGAGGGCCGCGTACGCCGCCGGCTCCAAGTCGACGAAGCTGTTCACGAGGATGCCGTCCACTTCCCTGATACGCCTGGCGATGTTCAGCATGCATCGGTAGGCGTCGTCGGTCCGGTCCTGCATCGGGTGCAGGAGGTCCTCCCCTCGGAGTGGGAAGCAGCCCGGGAGCACCACCGGTTCCGGCAGGTCCCTGTACTCGCACGACGTGGCCTGGTCCAGCGCAGGGAGATGCAGCAGGAGGGACAGCACCATGAAGCTGGTGGTGAAGAGAAGGTAGTGCGGCACCCCGAGCTCCTTTGCCACGGGGAGGGTCTCGCCGCAGAAGAGGTCGATGACGTAAGCGGCGAGGCGGGTGGTCCGCCGCAAGGTGCGGAGGACGTCGCGGACGTGGGGAACGGAGCGCTCCACCATGATGCTGAGGCGCGTCTCGACATGGGCATCAAGGGGGACGTCGTCGAGGGGGAGGGGGGGAAGGACGACGTAAGAGAAGCCGGAAGGGAGGGAGTCGAGGAAGGCGGTCTGGGCGTGGTCGGAGAAGTCGGAGAAGACGATGAAGGTGGCGGTGAAGCCGTGGCGGAGGACAAAGAGCTTGGCGAGCTCCGAGAGGGGGATGAGGTGGCCCATACCGGGGCTGGGCATGACGGCTATGTGAGGCGGAGCTCTGCTGCCTCTCTCCATGGCTTCGATACCACCGTTTGTTCTCTGCGGTGGCTTTTTTATAGCAACTTGAGCTGAAAATTTTTATAGATATTTTAAAGAACCCGAAAAATCTTCGACTTTTATTCTGAACAATAATAATAATAATATTTTTTTTAAAATATAATAATTAATTATTAAAATAATAACTTTTAAATATGATTTAGTTAATTTTTATTATAATATAAGTTCCATGAAACCTAATCATGCTAAGTACTATTTTTATTTTTATAAGATTTATGATAATTAATTATTAAAATTAAAGATATTTTGAATAGATATTGTGATCATCACTTTGTCACCTTCTATTAAACCAATCAAAACTTTTACAGAACAAACAGGACATGATCCTAAGATGATTAGTATTATTTTTTAGATCTTTTCAAGATTTTATAATAACTAACTAACTATCAAAATTTATATTTTTTTGAATCTAAGTTCATCTTGTACAAATAAATTAAAAACATGACAAACACATTTAATAGATTGATTTACTGAGAAGACTTCAAAATCTTTATAGATATTTTAGCCTCCACTATTTGTTTTGAATTTTGATATTATTTTTTTTAAAAAAAAATAATTATTAATTATTTAAATTTAAGACCTTTTGAATTAATACGATGACTAAGTTCCATGAAACCTAATCAATTTTTACCCAAATTTTCACTGAACCATTAGACTATTTGTGTTTTTTTTAATTATCGAAATTAAGAAGTTTTTGAATATATATATGTGATCGAGTGTAATTTAGTTGACTTTTGAATATGATTTAGTTAATTTTTATTAAATCAACTCAAATTTTTATTAAATCATTTGGTGTAATTAATATTTTTATTTTTACAAGATTTTATGATAATTAATCATTTTAATTAAGGATTTTTTGAATTAGATATTGTCAGCTTCCATTAAATCAACCCAAATTTTCACATGATTTTAAGTAGATTAGTCTCATTTTTTTCCATCTTTTGAAGATTTTTATAGATAATTAGTTATCAAAATTTAGATCGTTTTGAATTGGTCGTATAACCAAGTTTAATTTAGTTCAACTTTAAAAAAAACTTAGTCAATTTCGATAATTAATTTTAATTATGATAATTAATGAGATCGAGTATAAGGTAGTTCGATTTTAAACATATCTTAATAACTTAATTAAGTAGGATTTTGTTGAGTTCATCATGTATTTTGATTCGGGAGGCATATCAAAATAATTACTTATCCTTTTGCCAAAAGGCATGATTTGATTTGAGTCATGAGACATTCCCTAGTTTTCTTTAATCAAATCAAATCATTCAATGAATGCCTCACTCAATCAAGAAAGTAAAAGTGTAACAACATCTAGACATTATCATTCTTTAGACATTAGTGGCAATTGCAATGTGGAATGGTGTGTGAAACACATTGGATTCAGACCTATTTAATTTATCTTAATTGTACCATCAGAACAATGGTCACATCCATGATTTAAATAATCATTTTGATATATTCAAATACACACGTGTGGCACAAATTTGCTTAGATTATTTAGCACTTTGAAAGGAGAGTTGTTTATGGTGTTACCTACCAACCATTGGCCTTAGTTGTCGATCTAAGCATCCATGAGTTGGCTTGTTTATTCCGATGCTAAGAACAGAATAACCTTTTGATAAAAGGCAAGGAAAAGAATATGCTAATCTAGTCTTTTATTTTTATTATTCTTATGTCATCAGAAATTTATAAGAATAATAATAATAATGAGTCACATCGATCGTATCTTAACTTTCATTATTTTGGACTTACAAGATTTTGAACCAGTGATTTAAGCTTAAAGAAATTAAAGTATTCCGTTGTAATAATTATAATAACTAATTTACATACTTATATTATTATTAACTTCAACTTAAGTATGGATCAATTGTAAGACAGTCATGATTAATACAGTGATGATGCAATGATACACAAATTATTAGAGTTGATATTAGAATAAAAGGAACATGATTTGACATGACATGTGGTATACAAGAATCCAAATAGAACCCAATTCAAATGTTCTAATGACAATGGTTAGATTTGTATGCTGTCGAGGTAGGAATATTTAAATAGGTCTACGTGTTTGATTGAAAAGATAAAAGGATTATTTATATTCATCAAAAATAATGATATGAATATGTGTTTGAAAATCTTATGAATATTGTGATAAGATGATGGAAGATAATTAATATTGATAACAGAAATAAAAACTACGAATAAAGATTAAATATGTTTAATTATATAGATATATATTCCAATGATTAAAAGAATATATGTAATTGAATTAGGATAATATAAAGTTATCGAATATGACAATGGAAGCGATTCGAGTTGCTCTAATACAAAGGAGTTTGGAGTCGAATATAATGAAATTGATGGATACTACTACATGTCGTCGTCGTCGTCGAATCAGCATACGCTACCACCTCCACTTGGGGGGTGAAGCTAAGTGAACGGAACCCTAAAGCTGCTTGCATATTCCGTCTCTTATCACGCGGCCACGGTGGGGTGGTAGAATTCGTGTTCAAGGTGTGTGGAGAAAATAATGTCGAACCCACCGTCGTAAATTAAGTCCCGCCTCAAGTTGTGTGGAGCTTGCCTCGATAGTTGACTTGTCTTACGTTGACTCAACACCGTCGAGCGCTCACGATCGATCTCTCGTCACCATGACCAGCATCATGAGTTCATTCGTGCAGTATCACATGGTTACCTTCGAGCTTGCAATCGACCAACAGATGGTTGGTAGGTTGGGTGGTCGGTCACTGGCAGCGTGGAGACACGCAAACGAAGAGCCTTCTTTACGAGAACTGTTGCTCCACGCAACCAAGTCCTTACTGGACGCACTTCTGATCCCATGGAGGAGAGGGTGAGAGTGCAGGCAGCGATGGAAGCAGGAGGAGGAGGAGGAGAAGGGCGTGTATGGGATTGTGGAAGCCCTCTGTACGACTCCTTTGAGTTGGCTTCCTTTTCCCACGTCCTCGATCGACATACCATGGTTCTGCCGACCGAGCTCCAGGGGAAGAGGATGACGATGGTGGCGTGGAGAGAGAACAACGAGAGGAGGAAGAAGAACAAGAAGAAGGCTAAGAAGATCATCCAGAGGGGTTTGAGAGCCATCTACAGCCGCATTGCTTTCTGGAGAAAACCATGAACTTTTGTATGTGTAATCGTTAAACCAAAATTAAATCCTATGTAGTTCGTAAAAAGAGAGATAATTTATTTATTAATGTGATGAATGATGATTCTTTATCGATCGTAAATTATTTATTTATTTTAACATATATGATTCATGATGCGTTATCGATGTCTATGTAAGTGTATAATCATGTAACACAAAAGATCGAGTGTTATAGTTTTCATATTCGACTTGTAGTAATTTTCATGTTCTTCGTGAGATTGTATATTTTTGGTTGATCGCGTACCCAATAAAGATGCTATATATATATATATATATATATATATATATATCTTCTTAAACGATTCAGAGGTGGAAGATATATATGCTGATTCATTTGATTTGTGCACAAATATTGTCCTCTTAGAGTCAATATCCATATCTCCTTCTTGTCTGTTTCTTTTTGGCCTTCTACTGGGGGAACTGTTATTGGTACTCTTTTTGATGTGTTTCCTACATGCATATGGCCATGAAATGATTGAAACATTGCCTCAGAAAAGAGAGAGATTTGGAACTCAAAAAGGATTATGATGCATTTGTTCTGATATGCTAACACAGGAAGAAATATGCTCCAATGCATAGAGTTGGATAACAAACTCAGGTCAGACACCGTTTTACTTCCTTTTGTTACTTTGTTGTTCAGCGGATTTTTAGGTGGATTAGTTCTACTCTTCATTCGTTTCCAGTGAATGAAGTCAGGACCAAAAGAGAACAAAGGAGCTAAGAACAATAAGATTAGTCATAGATTAAGTTAGACAGAGATTCAGGCATCAATTATGTAATAAAAACTGGCATCTCTCCAATCTTGCCCTACTCATCTTATCATATATGATGAATAGGTTTGTTCAAATTCATGATACAAGTATCTGCAAGAAGTAAAGCAGGGGAAAACTGACATCAGAAAACTTCAACTTGCAGCATTAAGATAAAAAGAGCAATTTGATGTTGATTTTTCAACAGTGTCAGGTACATGATCAGCCCAACCATTGCTTTTATTCAGATTCAATGAACTCATCATGGGCAAGGAAATATCAAATCAATTCCAAGTCTGTTTCCAAGCCTACTGTGGCAAAAAGTATCATTTGAAAGCAGCTCAGGTCTTTCATTTTGTTTGTAGTACAACTATCAGAAAAATACTAGTAGAATCAATCACAGGCCACACAGTCACTTACTGCTCATAAGACAATGTCCAGAGAAGGAAAAAAAATAATATACTGAAGTTAGTCCACAAGCTTCCACAGTGATGTCAGGTCTCCAGGTATAGTAATGCAGCAAAAGAATAGAAGGCTGATGACAAAGCTAGATTTGTTTAATACACCACAGTTTTTTCATCCATCAGCAGTTGAGGTTTGTAAAAGCCTCTAACAGCATAATGATATGGATCATACAAGTCACAATAAGTAAAAAAGAATAGAAAATATAAAGCTTGTGATAAGACTAAAACTCTTCCTTAAATATACAGCAGTTTTCTTCATTACTAGCAGTTGAGTTTTCTAAAAGCTTCCAACAGCATAATTACATGGATCATACTAGTTGAAAGAAATAAAAATTCAAAATTAGGATGGTCATAGGAATCGCCACCCAAAAGTTCGTGGGTCTCAGGCATCATCCCCCAAGTCGTAAGCTGCCTAATTCAATTAATTTGTAAGGTTAGCAGTAGCTTTGGGCTGATAATAATAAAAATATGCCAAAACTACATACTAATGGAATAATAATCAGCTTGCTGCCACTGCATCTGTTGTTGGACTGGTGTCCATAAGCTGGCGAAGTTTCCCATTGGACTTGTCACTTTTCTCATCATCTTGCTTTTCACTTAGACTGCTCGAGCTTTGTTTGTCTATCATTGACAAGAAATTCTCAACGACAACAGATGGGGCACTATCAGTTTCCATTTTATCAGGAGATGATTCTTCTGCATGGACCGATCGCGCATTCAGTTTCTCCTGTACATAAAGATACATAAAACCAATTGGTTGATTCACTCCAGAAGGATATATCCATAGTTTATATTATTTCTAAATTTCACACTGCATATATCCTCAAGCACAGTGGTCAAGTCATTATGCACCATTTTACTGCTTTAAGTGTGCAATTATCTTCATTGTAGTGATTACTGGCAGAACCAATCATATAGGTCTGCAATCCATCAATAAAAGCCTGGCAACAATAGAATAAACTACTAGCTGAATATAGATGTACCAATAAAGCAGCATTCTCGAGTCTCAGTGTCTCCGAGCTTTCAGTTACTTGACTAATTTTAGATATGAGAGTCCTGTTCTCAGCACTCAAAGCCTCAACTTTTTTAGCAAGTTCTTCATTTTCTGCCTGAAATGCAAATTACTGAAATTTCAGTGACAAAAGAGGAAGATTACAGAAAAATAAGAAGACAAGACACATCAAATATGGGTAAAAAATTCCATCCTAGAATACCTGTTTTCTCAACCTTGACCTTCTAGCAGATTCTCTGTTGGACTGTTTCCTCCTCTCCCGTTTCAGTGACCGCTCATCCTGAAGAAAATCAAATTTAGTTAAGAAAGAAGATATATCAGGAAAAATCAGCCAGATACTCAAAGAAGCAAGGCATCGACCTAATGACATATAGCAGTGAATTGTTTGACAATAGATGCTGCTACATCCCAAAGCATACTTTATCCAGCTCATAAATCTATGATATTAACTTGGAGAAGTGACATGCTCTGCAATTTATATTTGTAAAGTCAAAGAAGGTATCATATCCATGACATTCTAGACCCATGATATGGTGATACTATACTTTTAGAGACCCACAAACCAACCACAAAGGCATCCAAGTCAGCTTTAATGTGGAGACAATCAGTTGGGAAACATCACCACGGCTATGGGGTTGAGGCAGGGGGTTATTTCGGTGATGATGTATACCATAACTATATGAAAGGGACAATGGGCTGCCAGCCAAATTTGGATCACAAATGTGAGAAACAGAAACCTACTGCTGCCTGTTACAGGTAAAAAGGACATACCCAGTGTACGAGGCTTCCGCCAGCGCGGGATATGGGGAGGGTCAATGTATACAGCCTTACATTTAAATATTTAAAGAAACTGTCACCTTTAAATATTTAAAGATGGTCAATGAGGCTGCCTATTATAGGTCTAAGATATAAAAGCAGATGTTAAACAAAATAGTCAAGAAAAGAAGAACAATATCTTTGCATCAGTAATTGTCATGGTTAAATAATTTGTATCGGCAACTGGTTATTAGCAACTTTTTCAATGAAAAGCAAAAGACAGGAGATAGGAGACAAAACATCTTCAGAGTTCACATGCCTGAGTCCAGAGTTCAGAAGGCACACTATTACAACCAGGCACTAAAGCAATTGTTGGCGGGCGGCCAGGGGTGTCAATAGTTTTCACTGACATCATCTGTGCTTGACAAGGTGAAGGTACATTAATGACTGGATTTCCTGCAATTTTTGCATGTGCCACAGTAACCCCTGAAGACAATTTTGAGGATGAACTTCTTTCCCCACCCTGAGCAGGATCAGAATTTGACTCGACCTTTCTATCATCTGCAAAGATTCACAAAGACCACTTCATAATGTCTGCTATGTGATTTCACGATAAAGAATAGTGATTTGTAACATATAATAGGCCTTAACAGTGAAAAAGAACTACAAAGTTTTCAATTTGTCTGATCATTGACAATCCAACCACAATTCACAGACTTGGTACTCTAACCAATTAATCATAAATTTATTAAATATGTTCCAAAGAAATACTATTTGTACGAATAGGAAATCAAATGGGTTCAGGCAGACTGGATGGAGTTGTTTAATTTTATTCTAGAGATAGATTATGCTATATGGTAAACTTGTATAGCAATACCTGAGGATTGTATATCTTCAGAACTGCGCTTTCTTTGATCCTTGGATCCCTAATGCAGGACAGGTATTCCAATTAAAAGTGGTTCGGTGTAAACCAAAGAAATTGATGAAGAAATACTTTTGAAAGCAACAATAAAGGGGAAAAAATTATTCAAGGGCATTACTCCTGCTGAATTACTTCCATCGCTTCCATTACTTGAGCCAGCTGCACTATTATACCCACTGTACATATAACAATGGATATAAACAGACCTTTGTAACAATAAATATAATAATAGAAATTTATTGAATGAAATGAGACTTGGACTGAATTTAACAAGGCATGTGTAATATTTGCAATTATTTATAAACAGACCTTTGTGACAGCTCATTCCCATAAGCACCTGCTGCATTGTTTGTACTTCTACTGTCCACTGATACAGTAAGCCCATCAAATCGTTTAAGCTTAGTCATCACCCCCTTATCTCGGCTCCCTGATGCTTTGTCAGGCATTTCTATGCTCAAAGGGGTGGCCATCTGCAGAACAGTGTTAAAATGTGTGAACAGAAGCTGATCCAGAAGAGCAGGCCAAGAATTAAGCTACCACATGAGCTCTCACGTGACCATGAGAAGCAAAAAAAATACAAGCAAACAGTGTTTACCACTACTGCTTTGGTTGCTGCAGAAGATGGTGCAAGCCCTGGATAATGTCCATGAGTACCCTGCACACAATATCCGTAGTCGAGAACAATCATCAACTAAAAGAGAACTATCCATCATCTGCCTTATTAACACATTAAATTTAATATAACCTGACAAAATTGGAAACAAATAAGACATACAGCACCACTATCAACTTACAGGAGGCAAAGAGGAGTGAGGATAAACTCCATGTGGATACATTCCGGCATACGGTGACCCAAAATGAGGAATGAAGGGCTGAATCCAAAGGAAAAAGTAGAATAAATGAACAAACTCGATAATAAAACAATTATTTATCATAATCCAACAATCAAGTTACAATATAATTGTATCCTACAACATATTTGCAAATTTGTACTCTATATTACAAACTCCAATACATTTCTGATTCTTATTCTGCACATGTTTACTATTAGCAAATTTTAGATTCACAGAACAACAATTGAGATTATGAAAAGTACACAGATGTAGAATATATTTTTCATTTATCTATGTTCACATTATAAATTTTAGACCACAAGTATGCATCAGAATCTGAAGTGCTTGGCATGTTGCACCTTAAAGTATGGAACATCGGTGTACAACACAGCAAACCTTGCAAAACTTTTTGGAATACTTGTTTCAGAGCAAGCAATTCACAAGTAGGACTGAATGGCAATTATTTGTAGTTATGATCCTTAAATCGCTTCATTTGCACTCAGATGCCAAACCCAATGAACAACATGAGAAATCAACAAAAAATTTCCAATGATGTCTGAATTACTGAGACCTATATACTTGTTGATGAAATATTCAAGCTAATGAGCGATGACTACTCCCTCTTCTTGTGCCCATTGCCGCTCTTTGTTCCAACTCAAGATCAAACCTGCATCGATTTCTGTTTTTATTTCCGCAGCATTAGTTGACACCTTAAGAACAAAGAAAACAAAAAAATGATTATCTCATCAGTTTACATCATCCTACAGTATTTTATACATGTACTGATCAACCACACACTACCCAGTCTTTGACTATATTATATTATTTGTTCCGTCACAAGACTACTCTAAGACTATAAAGCCACATGAAATCCCATGTTCGAAGCTTTCAACAAATACATGTATGTCTGTGTATTATTGAGCCTAAATCAACAGGTATCGGTCCATAGAAAACACAATCTCTGCTGAGCTAATTGGTACACTTACTACTAATACCAGCAATTATGAACCTTTATTAAACAACATGTCACAATGTTCTCCTAACTTCATATAAAAGTCTTCCTTTAACAGATCCGTCAGTCAATTTTAACATAAAGTTCAAAGGTGAGTACAATGTCAGTAACTGCAAGTCTGCAACAACATGTTCCACATACAAAACTATTAAATTCAAACAAGAAAATAATTTCCATAAACAAAAACAGAATTTCAAGTACCTGAGGGGCCCACATGTATGGATGAGGTGCATGACCAGGCACCACAGAAGTACCAAAATAAGGAGGGGGCATCACTCCAGGACCATAATATGCCTGAAAAGGGAAGGGTTGGGCTTTTCATATAATGGCTGTATACACTGCCCAGAGTCATACAAATAAAAATTAGAAGTGATCGACCTGCATAGCTGCCCAGTCAGGGTATGGATGAACTGCAGGCTGCTCCTGCAACTGGAAAGAATGGATGCAGTGAGAAATGTAAAGATCGAAAATGACTAAGAAGTACAACTGGTAACAAAAGCAAAGATATTAATGCTTAATAAGATGATACCTAAACAAGACATGATATAACACATGCAAAATGGGCACTCATACATTTGATTGTTATTAGTAGATTAGCTACATCAAAACTGTTACATTGATGCGTATGTGAATCAACCAACTAAATATATACAATCCAGTATACAGAAATTGATGTCATACAAAGTTGATTTACAATGTCGGCTCACCTGGACAGGTGAATACGGTTTCTCAGACTTTGAAGGTGTTGTAGCCTCATTATTTCCCATTAATCACTCTCTACAGAACCTGAACAAATTATATTCAACAGTTACTTGCCAAGGAAGTATTTTTTCAGATGACTTTGCTCGATGAAACAAAGTACCTGTAAAACAATTATTCTGTTTTCACTGAGTGCCCATCTTAAAATAATAGTTGACTTTACACAGACATGATTAATCATTTAGAACTCACTTAAATGAATAACAACAGAAATTTTCCAAGAAAGATCATCAAATACACCAGACCTTTAGCAGTAGCAAAAAACTAAACAAGTGCATCTTAGTAGCTTTTTGTTAGCTCCATCAATTGAAATTGATGATATTACAACACTAGAATGAAAATTTAAAGAATGTTGGGAAAAGGGAAATTATACAGCAATACAAGATTTATGTGTTCTAGCAAACAGTCCAGGTGAAAAGGTGAAGATGATTGAGATAGCTCAAAAAACATGGATGCCTAAAAAAACGAAAAAGCCAGAAAACCAAACAAAACAAATGTCTACTTCACAGCAATCTCTCTTTAAAAGCCCCAATATACCCGAAATGGCAATGAAATGCACTAATAATAATTTATCAAAAACATGCACATGGACACCCAGACTATGCTTTTGCATGGAATTGTAGTATTGTACAGAAATATATTCCGCTCCATCAGGTTAAGGCTGATAGACAAACCCCTTTTTTTGGTTTCTTGATATATAGTCTTTCTCCATTCAACACCTTCCTTTCTTTTCTTTTTCTTTATTATTTTTTCCCGATAACACACCTTTGTTGACATGGCACTGTAGCCAACAGATGGCATGGGGTCTCCCACAACAGTATGATAATAGCATCTAACCATGGTTATATTTGAAGCTTTATGATTTCAAGCATATAGCACATATATGGTGATGTGCCAAAGATACCGCAGTCACATATAAAGTAGCCAAACTACCATGTGTCCAATGAATAAGCACTTTAATGATTTAATAAAACAAAACATACTTGCAATTTAATTATTATCTTGTGTATCTCCACATGTATAAAATGCATTACAAAGTTGTAGTTCCTAGAAACGTCTAAAGATTGATGTGCATCTTTATACACATTTAACATATTTATTCTCACAGCTTATTGCATCAACCCAGACAAGGGGGAAGCTTGGTTAGTAGGGAACTGTTCCAGCTGCAGTTTAACAACAATGACATCAATGAACTATAAAACTGCAGCATTACTGACGGCCATCACGACCCTTATATCTCAAAAGTCAAATTTTTTTCTTTCAAAACTATTAATTTGATAATCAGGTAAGCCATTTTGCAGGTTATAGAAACCAGCCAGTATTCTATTGCCAAAGAAGACAAAAAACTAATAACACAAAACCCTTGGTAGAAGAAGTAACAAAGGGCCCTACCAATCACCAGCCAAAGAAAAAACAAACCTGGATATGTTTCAAGCACTTTCTATATCCAATTCTATTCATGAGAACAAGTGAGATCAAAATCAGATCCACGTTTATGTTCACCGCCTGAGATGTTGCTTCAAAAAATTAACCGGAAAAGAAGTTTTTTCCCCCTCTTGCCAGATCATTCATCCACCTACTATCAAACCAGTCTTCCCTTGGCTTACCCCATCTTCAGATCTAATCTGCTGGTTTCTTCAATTTACATCCCTGATCTCCCTCTCAGGCACACGAACACCCACACAACAAACCGTAGTTGCAACAAAATTTCTCAAAGCGAAAAAGCGACCAAGATTCAATTTTTATGCCAGGAGAAGAGCGAAAACATCGAACCCTAGCGAAAATAAAAAGAATCAAGAAGCAAACCTTCCACAACAGAGGACTAATGTCGGGATGAAATAAAATCGTATAAGAATTCCCAGAATTACCACACCGAATCGGTCCACGATTTCACATACCTACAATCTCCGAACGAAATCCTCCGCAAAGCCACTAATTGCGTAAAACGCGACTCTTTTTGGCTTGGGAAAACCAAGAGTCTACTCAAGAAAGAGATGGAACGGCTCCACGGGAACTGGAGAGACTGGCCGAACTGAAAGGAGGAGGACCGTCCTCTCGAAGAGGAAGCCAACTACTGTTCTTCCTTCGTAAATCCACCGAAGAGGAGGATGAGCGCATCCCACAGCCGAGGGAAGTGGAAAGAGGGGGCGAGAGAGGGAGGACGAGAAGGAGTCCACGTCATCGTAAACGTGTCCGTATGAGCTATATGAGATACGCTGTATTCGTCCACCCTATCGGAACACACAAGGTAGACACGAACTTTCATCTAGTCCTGTGGGTCCCGCAGAAACGGCGCTTCTTGATTGGTTAGTTCAAGACGAGGCTTTCTCTCGGGGTATGATTAGGGAGAGGAAAGGAGGTACTGGTGGTAGTTGTGTTGGCCGTCGGTGCTGGCCCGCCAGGGTATGATCCTGCGTCGAACTCCGCCGTACACGTGTCTTTCTGTTGGAGCGGTCGACCATGTGACATCTCACCAGCTCCGCACTCACGCTCGCGTCACGTGGACACGAACGTGGCACTCGTGACGTCTTGTCGAAAATACCTTTCTACCCGTTTTCTCCACCTCAAATCTTACCTGCTTTCCAATTGGACACGGTGAAAACATAAATGAATATTTTAATTTAATAATATTTAAAACCGAAGGTTTACGTGTTCCTTTCTTCCCCACCGCAAGCTGAGAGAGCGTTGGATCAGTGTGTTTCGACCGAGCAAAGAAACACAGAAACAGCCTCTCCCATTGGTAGATAATAGTGGCCCCACTGAATCAGTTACTTGTGGGGCTACGGGTAACGGAAAGAGACGTTTGTGAGCACATCTTATCAACCAACTGGACTACTAACGCCAAACTCATCAGAGACGAGGTCGTCAAGATACGTCGCCATCTTCCCCTTCGCCATTGCTGCTCCTCTCTTCATCGGAGACATCAAAGGCCGGTCCCTGTGACGCATGCGCCTTACCTTCGCCATTGCTGCTCCTCTCTTCATCAGAGACATCCATGGTGGCTCGGGTTTCCTGGGGTGGACGAGATTGGAGTCCAGAAAGACAAGCGAACAGCCAATTCCTGCTCTTCTTCTGAGTTGCCTCCTCCATCATATGGTCTCGGCAACTCATGGACCAGTACTTTGATATGGAGAAGCACACCGCCTCGCTCTGCGCCTTCATCACGCCTCCTCTCTCAGTCTAGTACCGTCGCACGGTCGGCGCCACATCGGCCGCAAGCCGGGCGCTCAACGGGCACTGCGAGCGGCGGCCAGCCGCGGCTGCGGTGGATCTCCACGAACACCTCGGACGCCTCGTCGCGGAGAAACTCGTCGCCGACCACGAACACGAACCGCTCCTCCCATCGAAGGTCGTCGGCGCTGCGCTTGGTCCTGCTGCGGAGCTTGTGATCGGGGTGCACCTCGAGCTCGGCGTACGTCTTCCAGCTCCGATCCGGCGGCTTCATCTTGTGGCCTGACACGAGGGTGACGTGAAGGATCGGATACTTACCACTTGCACGTATTAGTATCACGATATTAATATTATTACATATTATTCCTTTATTTATACTCGATTAGCATCACGATATTTATATTTAAAAAATTTATATTCAGATTTTTATAATTTAAAAAAATAAAATAAAATAAATTATATTAACATCTAACATGTTAAAAACATAATGGACGAGATGCTGAAATTATCTTCTTATTTATTATTTTCATGTCGATCTAATATATAATGTTACGTGTTATATTTTTCATCGATACAGTTGATGATATTAGGATAAATATTTTTTTATTTTTAGAATTATAGAAATTTTAATATAAATTTTTTTAGTAAAAAATTATAATATCAATATAGTCAAAGTATATGGATAATCAACCCTTTCAAGCGTCATGCAA